GAAGAAGAAAGGTGAAGAGAAGAAGAAAGGTGAAGAGAAGAAGAAAGGAAAGAAGGAAGAGATGAAGACAGGGATCTTGAAACCTACGAAGAGTACGGGGGGGAAGGGTGCCAAGGATGACAGTGATCCCAGCGAGAGTGAACACAGTGAAGACAAGAAGACAAGCAAAGGAAAGAATTCAAAAGACAAGGTGAAGGACCGCAGCAAATCAAAGAAGAATTCAAAGGAAGAAGAGCCAACGAAGCCTAAGGGCAGCGAGGCAGACAAGGGAAAGAAGCGCAAGAAGGAGGAAACAACGGAGGAGGAGAAGGATGAGAAACCTTTAGAGAAGGCTGAGGAACATTTGGTCAATTCCACCAGTCACCGCAAGGAATGGCAGCAGTTCAAAAGGTGGATGAGCAACAAGAAGAGGTGCCCAGCCAAGATTGTGGCGGCTTGCAAAAGCCAGGCTGGGCCCGGGTCTGTTGTTGACTATGTACACATACACGGACTCACTCTATAGTGCAGGGGTTCTGAAAGCTGTGATCCATCCCTATAACAAAGGGTTTTACCATGTTTTACCACAAAGGGCGTGTGGCCTTTCAACTTTTCTTTTGCGATGAACGCCATGTTATGTTCCTGCAGGACACCCGGCAGACCTTGTTCAAAGACTTCATAGATTGCGGCAAAGACTTTGCCAAAGTGGAGGCTCGTTTTGAGCAGCGTCTGAATGAGACGCAGCGATCATCTGTGAAGTATGGCTTCAGATCAGAAGAGTGGCTTCGGAAGAAACACGGAGACAAGAAAGCGCAGCGGATCATGGACAGGAAGAAATCTCTCGGCTTGACCCTTGTTTTGCATTTCCCTTCTCCTTTGTTCCCCACCGGCTCGATCAGCCCGCCTTCATGCCTAACCATGCATAGCCATCTGGCATCCATTCAGCTTCCACGTCCTGCAACTGCCGAGGACGGTGCCAGACCCGGAGCTCCCAGGCGGCGATGATGTGTTGCACTTTGTCATGGTGGAGATGAACATAGAGGACATCAAGGAGCTGCAGAGGATTACGCAGCTTGAGATGGAGGGAACTTTGGACTCCGACGGGTTGAAAGCATTCGTGGAGGCTCCCTGACCTAATTCCAAAGATTGATCAACCTTACCCAAAATGGCTCTCAGGGTTCATTGAAAAGCTTCAACTGTGTCCCTACTAGCCTTTGTCACCAAAACATATTCAAGACAAAGGTAAATACGCAAGAATGGTTTACGCTTAACAAACATGTGCTTCTTCAGCCCAGGCTGGAGGTTGTCTCGACGGGACGCAGCATCTGGGTCTTGGACCTATGATGGGTGCGGAGGGGATGCAAAAGCTGCTCGAAAACACTGGTGGTGGTCGTGCTTCCAAGGGCAAATCCAACAAGAGAAAGCTTGAGGGTCCAGGAAGCGAAACTCCAAAGGAAGCTTCCAAAGTGTGGGTCTAAGACTTTTATGAACTTGCCACAAGAAAGGGTTCCAATTCGGACGTGTCTCACCAAACAAACTTGCAGGTCAAGGCGGAAAGCCCCTTGGAGAAAGCGCAGGTCCTGGTGAACAAGGTTCTCAAGGACCACAATGCCTGCACGCAGTTTGGCGAGAATTGGTTTTTGGGCTGGTTTGGGTTTTGCATATATGCATCATTCTTTCAACGCCCTCCTGACATAAAACCTCTGGACGTCCCAGGGACTATGCGTTTAAACTCCAGCCTCTCAAGCTCTCTGGCGACCTCATTCAGCAGCTTCGTGCCTGCTCCTGCAAGCTCAAAGGTGAGGCTGAGGCACTCCAGGTTCTGATCCAGAAGAAGCGCAATAAAAACAAGGACTACGCTGCAACCATCAAGCAGGCAAAGGTTTCAGTGCTTCTTTAGATGCTTCATGTTATGGGTACAACCCACCTAGCCACTGCTCTTTGTAATACCAACCTAACCACCCACTGTTGCAGGTGGACTCCATCACAAAGGTGGCTAAGGGCAGGATTGAACTCGCCAAGGCTTTGATCAGGGCATCAGAGAAAAAGCCCAAGGGAAAGGCTCAAACGCAGCCTGAGAAGGGTGGTGCACCTGCAGCTGAAGCTGCAGCTGCCTAGGGGTTTGACCATCTGTGCATTTGCTTAGAAGATGGTTTTGGGGACGGTTGCGCGATCGCTCTCTCATCTCAGCCTTTCCAAGCTTGTTCAATCTCACCCTTTCCAAACTTGTTCAAACTCATTGCTCCAACGTGTTCAAACAAAACTTGTTGAAGCGGTGAGAGATTGAGGGAGGTTCCATGAACCAAAATCCTGTCGCGGGATTACCTGCGCAAACAGATTGGAACATCAAGCTTTCGCAAAGAGGATCAAAAAAGGGTCTTCTGGAATCTTAGGCGTTTGAGGGGTATTGGCTGTATCATTCTGAGCGCCCTTCATCTGAAGGGCTCCCTGTTCAGATGTGGCCACCCAACTCCCAGCCAGGTCCACGAGCAGATCACGGTCTCCTCACCAAGACCCCCGGCACATCAATGCGAAGCGCACCTGGCCAAAATGTTAAGGTGGCTGTCGTGAGTCCAAGGTAGCTAAGTTTTCACTACTTACAGCCAACTTAATGTGGTGCCTTTCATGAACCCAAGTTGGTTCAACTCCACCGTTTGCCAACCAAATCAGGTATGGTTGCTCAAGCTTCAGCGACGTCGAAGAGAATTCTCTGGAAGATTTGTTCAGGGGTCACCGGCTGAGCTGTTTGAAGGTTTATGGAACACAAGACATGAAAAACATTTATCACCCAGTCTTCCGGCCCAGGCATCTTCTGCCACTGATGCTTGCAGAGACGCGGAGACTTTAGTGCAAGATGGCTCCAGTTGCCCTATGGCCATCGAGATGAACAAGTGGCTTCAGGGGGTCACGCCCAACGCTCATTCTCGAGGCACTCCAACTTAACGCGTGTTTCATGGTTCTTTCACCCCTGACAAAACAGGTTGATGTAGGGTTTCCCTGAACGAGGTGGCTTCAGCTAGCTTGTACTCTTCATCCAAGCTCCACCTACTTGCCCCTGAAGATCACTGATACACAGGGAAAAGAAAAATTCTCGATGAAGGTTCAGCCACAATCCTGTGGCCATGGGATGCTTTGAACTACTTGTGGCGGTCAGGGCATCTGGATCAATGGATCTGCGACGGTGCGCATTTGTCTTTGCAAACATGCATTGAGTGTTGGGGGCACGTCCAGGGGCTTGACTTCTTTAGGAGGTTGGGTCTGGAAGAGTGGCGAACCAGACCTTACATCCCCCTATGTTTCCACGCAGATGGTGTCAAGATTTACAAGAACCAGAAGTGTTGGGTCTATAGCATATCCAGTGCATGTCGCAAAGGTCCCTCCACACAGACCAAATTGTTGCTCCTCACCATACGTGAAGGTAGTATCATAAAGGAAAGAACGCACGACGCCATCGGAACCATCATCGGCTACATTTGCCGCACGCTCCAGACCGGCCTGTTTCCGGAACACGATGAATTTGGACAGCCATTCGCTCCTGGATCCGCTGAGCACCAACGAGCCAACACCCCTTTTGCAGGATTTTGGAGGGGGGCTTTCTGGGCATTCAAGGGCGATTGGGAGGCCCGTGTGTTGATACATAAGTTGCAAAGGTACTACAACGCCACCTGGGTGTGTGAGAAGTGTATGGCAAGTCGAAGGGAAGACTGGACCTTTGGGGACTTGCGGCCATGGGCCAAGTGTTTGACTGTCCGATTTAGCCATGAACAATTCCTGATGATGAGCTCTTGGAATAAACGTTCCAGTTGGAGGTGTGTGAAGGGGTGGACTATTGAGCGAAACTTAGAAGCTGCCTGAACATTGAATAGCAACATTTTCTGTTTGTGTGGTTTTCATCTCCTTCAATGTATTGCTTCTTAAAAAGTTCACCCCTTCACATTCCAGCTCAGGACCTTTTGCATGTAGTCCACCAAGGGGTGGCCAGCGTGGTGATCCCTTCGCTGATTTGTGCCCACTTGGAAAGCAAGGACCCCAACATAACCCTGAAAAGAATGGACGAGCTTCTGTCGGGGCCTGTGTTTGAACACTACAGATCCTGGTGCGCGGAGAGATCGCCCTTAGTGTCTGCGTGCTCACACCGCTTCAGCGCTGCACGTTTCGGTAAAGAGAAGTGGGCAAGCAGCCCTGATTTGGCAAGCCTTTACAAGGCCTCGGTGGTTAAGCACCTCATGTTCTGGTGCGCAGATTACTTGAGGTCAGAAAGGGATGAAGCAGTGTCTGGTAGTGATGACCGGTTGTATACCATGCACTCGTTCGCCAAATTTCAGCAACTTCTTGATGTCCACGGCCCCTGGTTTTCAGAGGATGAATGCAAGCTGGTGGTGACCTACGGCTGGGCAGGGGTAATGTTTTACCAGAAACTTGCAGCCCAAGACAGGCTGCGGTTAGATTCGCGGCGCTGTTTCAAGATCACCCCCAAGTTCCATAGCTTCGTTGAGATGTTGATCTACATCGAACAGACCCGACGCAATGTTCGGTGTTCCGGCAAAGTGTTCTTATATTTTCCTCTTTCTGCAGGGTTTTAAGTTTTAAGGGGAATGTTTTGTGGATGTGCATCTTTTTGAGACACTTAGGTTTGAACATTGTTACCAAGACGAAGATTTAATGAAAGAGGTTGGCAAGATAGCGTCCATGACGCACCCTGCTACACTCGACCGCGTGACAATGGAACGATATGTGGGGCTCTTGGAGTTGAAGATCTTTGCTGACCAAAGCAGCTGATCGACTTTACAGCCGGCTGTCCTCGTCCAAAAAGCTCAACCAAGCATGGGCGCGCGGGAAGCGCGAAGAGAAGCAAAAAAACAACAAGTGTGGAAAATTGTGGAAACTTCCACAGGTTTTTGCTGTGTAGTGCACTGTTCTTCTACAACTTGTTCTATGCTTTAGTGCCTGGTTAACATTCGGTCCCACCTAGAAACGAGGTAAACCTAGAGCTAGGTCTCGAGAAGCGGCGTAGCGGTCGGCGAGTTGTCCACACACACACACCATGCAGGGCCCAGGATCCATGCAAGCTCCACCAGCCAACCCCCCCCCAAAAAAACAATTAGTCATACATAGTTAAACAAGAGGTTTAGCAAGTTATGCGACTTTGACGTTCCAAGTTGTATGGGCTGTGCTTAACAAAACTCAAACACTGGTTTTGGAAGCTTTGACATGCCAAGTTCCAGTGTGATTTGTGGCTAAACAAGACTGAAGTGCTGACTTTTCAACTTTGACATGCCAAGTTCCAGCGTGGACTCATGCTTAAACAAAACTGAAGTGCTTGCAAAAGGTGCTTCGCAAGTTGATTGAATTTCTTGGCGTTCCAATTCGGATCTTGAGATCGTTGGCAGCGGAGCTGGTTTTAGGGAACTCTACGAAGGCTTAAAACATAAGCCTTCGTCTTGCAAACTTGCCGAAGGCTTAATGGACAGCGCTCTTGGCTGTCTAGGTGTGGACAGAACTTTAGTGGAAGGACGTGTCCGAGAGCAGTCGTTGAGGTCCGACGAGGTTCGGAGGTGTAGGAGGACTGTTTCTTGTTGATTTAGGAGCCTTCTGTTCTTGGGTGCAGTGTTTTGAGTTTTGCAGAATTGAGTGCATGTGCGTTTTTACTTTTTGGGAATCTGGATTGGAAGCATTCACTGTGAAATTGCTCAAAGCTGTCTTGTGCATTTGTTTTCAAGTTTCTTGTGTGTGACATGCTGCTTTTGGGTGAAAATGGTTCTGGACAGCAGGAGCCTTGGGAATCCAGTTTTGCTTGACCGACTTTCCGGATAGCTACCTCTTTCTTAAGGAAATCGAGACGAATTACTGTTTTTCTACTTGCACTTGTACTTGCCTATGTCTAAGGTGAACTGACAGATGCCCGCAGCCGTTTTCTTTCAAGGACAGGAATTCTTCCACGGTGGAGATTGGAACGAGGCCAAGAAACGAGTAAACTTGAAAGCTTTCTGTGCGCAGAGAAGGTTTTTGAGTGTCTCATGTTTGCAGTTGAGTGGACCTAGAGCAATAGTTGCTTGAGCGGGACTTGATTGTTGAGCATGTCTTGTGTGTTTGCTTGTTTTGAGAGTTTGACATTTTTTTGCAGTTGGAGACGACTAGAGCAATAGTAGCTTGAGTTGAATTTGGCTGTGAGAAGTGTGAAACAGATGTGTTTTGTTTGCCTTGTTTGCCAGTTTGCATTTTGAGCTTGGAAGATTCTTGGGAGGTTAATGTTTTTGTAAGTAGTCATCTTGAAAGCTTGGTTTGTGGTTTGAACGTGTTTTGTGAGTGTTGCAAGTATGAGGAAACCATGTTGCTTTGTCTCAAGCCGCTTCCGCGAACCATCGCCTGTTTGACGCTTTTCTTTCGCACACCGACATCCGTTGAGAAACATGTCTGCTGCGACAGCCGCGACCAGTGCCCGTCCCGCCGCCGAGCGCGACACGATCGTGCTGTTTCCGGGGCGCGATTTGATGACAGTCAGCTTGTCTGAGCTTGCAGACTGCCAATTCCAAGGAGAGGCCTCAGCTTCTTTGATTGAGATCAGTGCACTCAACGACTTGCGTTGTGAAGCCACGAGATGGCACACTGGTGCGACCAATGTGGAGAAGCTGATTTACCACCTCAAACGCCTGATTGTTGAGCTTGCAAGCCAGGAGTCAGATGGGCACCAAGCAAGCGACATTTTCCCGACGTCGCCTCTACAGGAAGGCTTTATGTCTTTTTCGGGAAAAAGTCTGGCAGATTTGCGAGGTGAGTTGCCCGACTGGGAAGGGCGCCTCTTCCATTTGAGGGCCGGTTCCTCGATGTTGGCTTGGTCCTACTTCGAGAAGTTGGTAGCACTCGAGAACATGTCGGTTGACCGTTCGGAGGGTACGAGTAGCCTAAGCAACCCTATGCCAACTTCGGCCAGGGAGGTCACCGTTGAATCTCTCCTTGATTGTCTTGTTTGGGCAACCAACAAGTTCGGTCAACTATCAACGGTCATTGGAAAGGTGCAAGATGCTGCATCCAGCATGGCCGAATCGAGTGGTTTGGTCAATCCGAAGCTTGATGCCCAACATACCAGTTTGCTGCGCATGTCTGATGGGATCCTTGCCCTAGCGGCCAACATTAAGGTCAACGGGGATCAAGGAGCCCCGCTTTTAGCGGGAGTCAAGGCGATCCAGAAGCAGCTGGAGAACTGTGCTTGGCAGGTCAGTGGATCGGGCGCCAAGCTTGTCAATGTGAGTGTGAAGGAGTTGCTGATGAGCAGTGCCAAGGTCCTTTCGGAGTGCAATGCGCAGCTCGCCAAAGGGGTGGACCACTCGCAGCGCACTTACGAAGGCATGATCGCCCTCAACGAAAATGTCAAAGAGGGGAACCAGTTGCTCAAAGAATTGGTTGAAGGGCAGCGGATCTCCCTTCGGCATGCTGCTCAGAATCTAGCTCAGCAACAAGCTTCGACTCCACCACCCGTGCCGGCACCGCCAGTGTCGATGGGAAGTCAAGGGGCCAGTACGATCCCGGCAGCCTTTCAGAATCCAGCACTTGGAGTGGGCAAGATTCCTGGTACCAGTCTGCCACAGCCGCCAGCTGTGCCAGAGAGACATCCAGGAGTGACCCCGGCTACTCCAATGGATGATCCAGCGCCAGGGTTAAAGAAGGTGAAGTTGGCGGATGGATCTACGATGACGATCCCAAAAGGATGGCAGCCGGATCCTAACTTGTAGTGCCTTGAATGGTGAACTGCCATCAGAGAAATGGCATGATTTTTAGAAGGCCATTTTTGCGGCCCAGCAGCTTGCACCACGAAAAAGAAAAAGGAGGTCATATTTGTTAGTGTTTCCTTGGGTTTTCAGAACATCATGTGCCACCATGCTTGAACTTGGCTTGACCTTGGCTTGAGGCATGCTTGAACGTGTGATGTCAGGTTGAATTTATGGAGATATGATTGGGAGGCCATTTTGTTCGTGTCTTGCTTGCTTGTTGCTTGGGGGAGTTCATGTTTGAAGATTTTATCTTGTCTTGAGAAAGCAAGAGGAAGCAAGAGAAAGCAAGAGGAAGCAAGAGAAAGGGAGATCAGATAGGCAGGCGGAATTAGACACGTGCAGTGTGGCAAAGGGTTTGTGATTTTGAGTTTGAGTTTGCTGTGGCAAGACGAGTTCACTGGATTCAGGATGTTTGGAACCCAAATTCATGACCAGGTAACCTCTAGAGAGAGTTTCTTGTGATGTTTTGTGCAGTGGCTTGAAGCTTTGTTCATAGCAGGTTTAGCTTCTAGCGAGTTTTTCTTGCGAGTTCAATTGTGCTTGTTTGCAACTATGTTCATTGCAAGTTCGTGTCTAGGTAACCTTGGTAGTTTTCATCTTGTGCAGTTGATGTCAACTTTGTGAACTTGTCAGGTCTTGAGGTCAGAGGTTCGCACGGCATGGTAACTCTAGATCACCTTTTGCTTCCTGAGCTGACAGGTAAGTTGTCCTTGAAAGCCTTGTGCTTTTGAGGATCTCGATGATGAGGTTGAAAAGGGTCAATGAAATAAGGAATCAACCCATGAGATTCCATGACCCACCTCTGAGAGATCCTTCTTGCACGTTTGTCCTTGGTTGAATGCGTGTTGGTTGAAGGTCGAAGTTGATTCTTTGATGGATCTGGAGTTTTGCTTGGTTTGAGCTCGAGTTCACCTCTGGATTGATGTCATTGAGATCACCTTTGAGGGGAGAAGTTTGGATCTTAGTTGATGTCTGACCCTTAGTTGCTCCAACAAAGCGAATAGAAGAAGAGAAGAAGACAGAAGAAGAAGGCAGGTAGCCCTAGGCGACCCAAGAAGGGGTGTGAAAAGTAGCGTACAGCGCACGTGTACAGCGTATGGCTCACCTAGTGCTTGCTTCTTTAGGGAATTTTCGTTTTTGGAGTGCTTGGGGTTGGAGCTGAGTGGGGGTCTGTGCCCTTTTTGTGTTTGACCTTTGACCACCTTAGCAGGAGGATGTTTGAAGTGGCAACTTGTGGCTAGGAACTGCTTAGAGAACCTTTTGGTAGAGCACGATGTCTTTAGAGACTGTTTGATGTAGTTTCCTTGCAGTTTGTGTAGTTTGGAGATGACTAGGTACAGTCATGTACTCTTTCAAGAAGAGTGGATGTGCTTCTAAGAAGCTAAGAGGACATTTGAAGACAGTCTATAAATGACTGTAACTTTGGCTCAAGGAGCGGGACCGAAAAGGGCGCGTTGCTACTGTGTTTTCACAAAAGCAGTCAAGCAGGTAGGGTCTTCACCTGAAACAAACCAGGCCCATTGTGAGGGGAGTGACGCAGGTAGGTGGCCACACCGGGGGTAAAACTGGTTCGGTCAGGGCAGGGTAGTGAAGCAAGTAGGTCTCACCTTGGCTAAACCTGTAAACAGTAGTATGGGAAGCATTTGACCTTACCTGGGCTAACAACCTCTTTTCGCCATTCGTAATGCTGTGAGCCAATAGGAGTGAGAGCCTTAGCTCTTCGTTCCTAACAGGCGGGTGGTAGAGAGTGGCAATGGCGGATGCCCAGGAAAAACCTTAGTTCCCTTTGTTGATGTCCGACATTTCCAATTTTGTACAAAGAGGTACAGATACCATGCTAGGAATGTCCAAAGTTTCACCTGTTTCACCAGTTTCACACGGGCCTTGCGTGCAGCCGATCACCCTTTGCAATGGTGCAGCGCCTCACAGACCGAGAAGACACCCCACTCTGTTGCTATTTGGTACCTTTGAGTGCCAAAGGGCGCTGAACTGACCTCCCTTCGGGGGGGG